TATATATATATATATATATATATGACTTGAACCCATAATTTATATTTGATCTAACATCACATTAAATCACGTGACAATTTCATATCTAAAAATTTAAACATTATCGTAGGTACAATCTATGTAGTAATTATATCTACAACACGTATGAACCCAAATACCCTATTAGACTCAGTTGCATTCTGAAAATAGTGGGGTTTTCCATCATTATTTTTTGATAGATCCGCAGTTAACACTAACATGTGTTATCTTTTAGTTCCCCTTATCAAGTCAATGAGAGAACTCTCGCTGCAGCACAACTAATCGTTGTGCAACTAACTGAAACTAAAACTCAAGATTAAAAAGAAAATTTAAGTGTGTTCACACAAACTGTTGGGGTTTTATTTAATTAAATATATAAGGGAGGTGTGAATGGGAAATGAAGGAAAAAGATTCGGAGGGAAACAAAAGTTTGAACTTTGAAGTGTTCCTTTTACTAAGACAATTTGTCCCTCATCGGAAATGGAAAGAAATTATTTGTGCTTATACAGAGAAGTACATCTTCTAGCTCTTAAAGAGTTGAGAAGAAGTGGTGCCGCGCGTCGTCGTTGTCGCTCGCTCGGCTTCGGACATAATTTATTTCCTTTTTTCCAATATTTTTCCGCGCGGATTTTATTTACAACGGTAAAATTTCTAACGGTCCTAAGGTCGTTTTCGAATTTAAAATTCGCGAGCAGACAGAAATATTTTCTGTCGAAAGGTACCTCATGTGAACATGTACCTTCGCACCTATTCAACCTAGACTGTTTGGCTATAAATTCAGAGACTTTGCCTCATTTCCACCACCTAAAATTTGTATACTCTCCCCTCTCTCTTCTATTTTTCTGCATTATCTTTTCAAAGCAAAACGTAAGCATAAGTGTGGTTTACTGCCGTTTGTTGAGTTCGACGAAGTTCTCTAATTTTCATTGCCAGTATTACAGAATAGTTGTTCTGTTGTATCCTAGGAAGAATTAATCCAACAACCTTGGACAACAATGAGGGGGCTAAATTCCTTAAGGAAACACAGTTCTCAGTTGGGCTTGGAACTTTTAATTATATTGTTTATATTTCTGTTTCTGTTTTGTTTCCTGTTTTATTTGCAGATTTTTTTTTCGAACATAGGTTTATAACACAAACAATTGAAAAGAGTTATAAACATGAAGCGCGTATCATTGTAATAAACATAAAAGCTAGTTACATATTACAACATATATAAGATGTTCAAAACACAAAATTAAAGCAACGAAAAAATAAACAAAGAATCCAAGGCCCTATAAGGAATCATTCTGAAAAGAGAAAACAAAATGAAAGATTATTAGTTTAGTGAGATTATCTCACCTATATATCTATATATAAAATTCTTCTTTATTTCCAAGTATACTACTATTTGTCATCATAATTTAGATCTTAATAGAGACCAATAGATTTCTGAGGACCCTCTCCTGCAACTGCATGATCCAATTTGGCTTGCTTGTTGCCCTCCAGCTTTAGTCCAAAGTGGATGTGAGGGAAATGTGCCCACTGCAAAATTGTGTAAATTCCAAAAGTTAAATTCTTGAGATAGATATATAAAGCATTGGTCACTGTTTTCTATTTAGTGCCTCTTCTGTTTGTCCTTGTGGAAAACCTAAAAATCCACATAGTAAGGTTAATTTTTTTTTTTTTTTTTTAATTTGCCTTTTTCAAGCTGGAGACTTTTTTTATTAAAAACTTGAATAGCTAGCTGAAACTAGCACAAGCTAAGGTTCTCTATTTTCCTCAAATTAACCATATCATTGACAAAGGTAACAGATAAGCTAGAATGAAGAGCAAGAAAAGTATCCAAGATTTTATAGCATTGATCTGTCTAACTAAGAAAAAACTTTGCACATAAAATATTGATATATATTATGCATGCAGTGTTTATCATTTCATTCTATTTCTTCATACGACTAAACCTATCCACATAGCAAAAGTTACTTTAAATTGAAGTAATTTTTTCTAATTCTCATTCCATGAAAATCTATCTATATACTTATGTTTTATGGTACAGCTTACATTTTTGGCAGCAGTGCTAAAAGCTTCACGGTGAGTAATATCAGGATTGCTGGCCTTTATCCTTTGGATCTCCTCCCTACACATTGAATATACAACATCATATATATAGTAAACACACATCTTACGTACGTTACATGCTAGGTGAAATATTAAGTGAACTTACTTGATAAATCTGTTGTAGGCGGAAGGAACACGTTGTCTTTTCTCTGGTGCTGCAACATGGGTTTTATTAAATTAAAAATAAAAATAAAAGGTATACATGGTTTAGGTAAACTACGATATACTCCAAGATTCCATGAAATGTTGAGCTCAGAGGCGGAATCAGGATTTGAATCTTATGGGTTCGGAATTATAATTCTTTTAAATTATTGGGTTTTAAATTAACAAGTTGTACATATTCAATGAATTTTTTAAGACAAATACATGATTTGAACAAAAGTTACTGAGTTCGGCCGAACCCGCTTCCCGCACTCTAGCTCTAAACCTAGTTATTCCAAGAAAAGACCTAAGAGAAAAAGGGGTGCAGCAAAGAATACAGAAGTACTTAACCAATGTTTCAAGATACTTATTAAAGATGAGTTGGAATGTTGGATATAAGTGTAATGTCACAATCAACTTCAGATCCTAAGTAAATTAAAGCAGATAATTCAGGCACTCCCCTTTAGCAAATTTGTCATGGTACTCATCCCATTCACAACATGACAAGTGGCCCTTCTATTTGTAAAGAATTCTTATTAAGATGGATAAACTGCTCTTCTTTGAAGTTAAATTGATTTTGGTCCCCTATCGTGAAGGTAAACTTAAGCATAATTTGTAAGACAAAGAAAGGGTAGGTTTAAAACTCTTACTCATATTCAGATTTAATTTCCACGAACTCCTATTAAATAAAATAAAAAATGTACTCCTACATATTACATTAAATTACTAGTACTATGAAACTTTTACTCCCTCTGTCCCAATTTATTTGATGTATTTCATATTTCAAGAGTCAAATTTCTCAAATTTGACTATGAATTCAGATATAAAATCTAGTACCTCAAATAGAATTTATATGTTTGAAAACTACCTCAAAAATACTGCTACAAGTCATAATACTTAATAATTTAAAATATTTAAAAAGGCATACAAAAAAATCGTGATCAAATTAAAGAAAAACTCATTTAACTCTTAAAATCATAAATGGATCAAATAAATTGGGACGGAATAAGAGTTTTGATAACAACACACACCTAGAAACACTTTAAAAAAATAGAAGAATAGAAATACCGTCTATATTGACAGGGTTAAGCGGACCCTTACATTAGTATTAAAAAAATTAAAACTGTGTGAAAGAATCCGAAACTGTAAGGTTATGGATGGAATAATCCAAGACCCTTTAAGCTCTTCGGATACCTTTAGGGGTCGTATGGTACATGAGATAAGGATTATAATAGATATCTTTTATATTAAAATGGTAAGATTAGTTATCCCATATAAAAGGTGGGATAACTAATCGCATGAGATATCCCGTCTCATGGGATATCCCACCATTATACCAAACAACCGCCTAGATAACCACTGAGAGATAAGTGTACGTAGCATCTTCTAAGAAAAACGTCAGAATGGGCTATTCCGTTCAGATAACAAAACAAATAGTACTACTACTAAGCTAGGTGTCTGTCTCTATGACTTCTTCATATCAATTCCAAGGGTAGGACAAGACATTCTATCAAGTCTCACTTAGGAATCTTATCATCAAAATACAGTTAGATTTAATAATGTCTGGTAGGTAAACATGTTTCATTGGCGCGGCAAGGAAACACAGGAAATATATTACTATAAAAAAGACAGTCCGGTGCACAAAGCTCCCGTTATGCGTGGGGTAGGGTAAGGACCGGATCACAAGGGTCTATTGTATGCAACCTAGCCCTGCATTTCTGCAAGAGGCTGTTTTTACGGTTCGAACCCGTGACCTCCTAATCACATAACAACTTTACCAGTTACGCTAAGACTCCCTCCGGAAAATATAACATAAGATCAAAGGAAATTGAGAGAGAAAGAGAGAGCTTACGGCGTATAGGCATGGTTCTAGGTTGATCATCTTCAGGAGATGTACCAATGGCAGAAAATCTGTGATAATTGGTAGAAGAGGATGACCCACATGCTTTACTAGCATCTTCAATATTTGATCTCTGCTGCTTCTTTCAAGTAAATTAAATGAGAGCCATATATATGAGCATTAATTAATATGTCACTTCCCTCCCCTCCCTTACCCCAAAAAACAAAAGATTAATTCAAGAAAGATAGACTAATTACTGACAGTTAAGTAGTGATGATGTACTAGTTTATGTAATTTGCATGCATTTATATTCAAGTGGAGATACATAAGGCGGGACTCATTAAGGAAGAAAGCAGAAGATTACGGACCCAAACTAAATGGATTTAACTGATACTCTGACTAAAATAATTTAACATTATTAGTATAATTTAACTTGTTGTACAACACTATTTCCCTCGTCTATACTCACTAACGGTGGAAATATATATTTACGCCATCAGTTCATATTCCAACGATATCTACGGGTAACCCCTTCATAAAAAGTGAAATTTCTAATCTTGAAAATAAGGTAGGTTATCTGATTCAATAGGTAAATGTGACCTAATATTGTAAACAATTTTTTTATGTCATTGGTGTATATAAGCTAAACTCTTTAGGGGTTGTTTGATTTGCAAACAAGTTATGCCGTAATCATAATATGGGGATTACAATGCGGGGATTGAATAATAATGAGATTATTTGGTGAATATACTTTTTTGGATAGATGTTTGGTTCATTGAATTAAAAATATAAAACATGCATTTTTTAACCATAAGTTTCAAAAATATTTCTTCAATTCTTAAATTATGTATAAAGTCAAAGTGTATCACATAAAATAAGAAAGAGGGAGTAGAATAGAAGTAAAAATTAGAACACTATTTCCACATTCTTGTTTGACCATCCAGGGAAAGAATTCCAAATGAAAGAGAACACAAACACTAAAAAGATTATGGACTAACTACTATTATACCTCTAGATCTTGAAGGGGGAGAGACTGAAGCAAAGATCCAATATTAACAGAAAGCAAATTTGCACAGTGTCCACACCTTACTGTCACTATTGTCATCATGCTGCTGCATGGAACGCTAACCTGACAACAATACATATTAGTAATATTGAAGACTTTTACGTATTTTCTTAACATATTTACCTAGTCTAGTGTTATATTAATTTCTATAGACTCCCTTTTCCCAAACACATGAACTAGAAAATCCATATGTTTGAGATGAATATATAGTCTAGTTTATTTTTCTAATAGCTAAGACTTCATGAATAGAATGGAGTTTACAATAAAATGATGGAGTTTGTTAATGTAGCTTAGCTTTCACAGTGCAAAAATACAAAGGCTCACATATCTACTAAAATTAGTACTACAACTGTTACTAAAAGGCTAAGATATCAGACTCTACAATTCCCATGTCTTACATGGGTTATAACTATAAGGATCTTCTTTTAAAGGAACCTCTTGGACTCTCTTCCTTTTCTTTCCTTTTCCTTTCGGTGCTCTTGACTTTTTCTGACCTTTGCTCAGTCTGTCACCAGAAAAGTGAGAGTACTGAACAAAGACAATGACATGACGAGAACAGAAACTATGAATTCCATAATGACTATATAAGAGGCAATCAAACTTTCTTTTTAGAAAAAAATAAAAAGATCGCACACTACCCTCTTCATATTTCTTGTCAAAGCGTTCACGCAAAAGAACCGCACCCAAGGAGTGTGATATAGACCGTCTACCATAATGCATACATTAGTTCTTTTCAAGTGGAATAACTACTCAATGTATATGCCCAAATCGAAAGGGTTTATCTAACTAGCCATGTTCCTCAGATAGGAAGAAGAATAATAAGAGAACTCTTTCTATCAATCTGATTTTCACATAAACTAAAGTAGATTTTAATCAATGTGAAGAAAAAGATATGTTCTGAGTTGAGTATTATCCAATGGACAAATGAATAGTACGATAGACTGAAGGAAAAAACCCCACCCCATGATCTTTACTGTTTTATATTCAGGAAACGAATTTAATGGCATCGAAGATTAGAGTACACAATTATTTATGATCAGCCCGGAAGTACGAACCTAAGGGAAATTAAAAGAGGAGCAATAAATAGAAGAATTAAACGGAAACGTTAACCAATTAGTGAACAAATCCAATTCTATCTTTATACGAGTAACTAACTTGTTAAATAGTGAAGTATTTAGTTGAGCTCTTGCAAATCCTATTCACAAGAACCCTATTAATTGATATAAGGATCAAATACTTTGCATCTGGTGAAAATAAAAAATCTTGGTTTTTTAGTCAAAGTAAAGTATGATTACTGCCTACTTCTTAAATATATGAGTAATTCATTTATCAGGTTTTGGAATAAACTGGATCTCAGTTCATATTCCATTCCATTAACTTCCTAGTTTAAAATTTCTAACTGAAGAGAAGACCCCCAGAAAAAGGAAACAAGGAAAAAGGAAAAAAAAAAAAAAAACTTGGTTTCAATTAGTAGAAGCATAACATAAAATATGCAATTATATACTTCACTTTCAAGAAAATTCTCTCCAACCTTTTAACACTTTTCTAGTCCTTGCACTCAAAAAAAGACTTCATTTCACCATATATAATTTTGTAAATTCTCACAAGATTTGCCTTCACATAAAAAAAAAATCCAGAAAAGGAACTGAACTTTTAGTATCATTTATCTACATGAGCATAGAAAATGGAGTTTTTTTTTTCTCATGATTTGCTCTAAATTAGCATGCATGGTAAATTTTTTAAAAGGTTGTAAATTTGAGGAGAGGAACAAAATATTCAAGAAATGAAAGAAAATTGAGAAGTGTACCGCAAGAATGGTGTTGCAAAAGTTGCAGTGGACATAGCAAACACGTTCCGAGGAAGACGAATATGTTATGTCTAGAGACATTTTTTTGTTTTGTCCTTTTAAGGTTTTTGGCCGGGAATCGCGGATCCACGAGGTAGATCAAGGATTCAAGGAAAAATAGAATCAAGAAAGAAGCTAAAGAAGAAGAAGAAGATGAGTTATAATTGAAGTGTCCAAATCAAGAAATATGAACATATGTAGTGTTTTGTTAGTATTTAATTATAGCAAAAGCTGAAAGATAAAAGTTCACATAGACAGGAAAAAAAGAAATGTAAAGGGAAGAAAAACCTAGTAAGGAGGGATGATAAATATGGGTATGATTTTAGGGAGATGAATGAAGGCAAGGGTACAAAACAACACATATTAGAGGTGAAGAGATGGATGGGATGGGATTGGTCTGGTCGGTATTGGAGCAAAGTTAGGGGCAGATCCAGAATTTTAACTTTATGAATTTCTACGAAAATTCTAAAGTTTGTGAATTTCTACAAAAATTCCAATTTAATATTATTAATAACGGAGTTTACGATCAAATTAGTATTTATAAATATTTTGAATTTCTTAATATATAGAGAGTCTAAATAAAAACTACTAAGTTCATGTGAGTTCGTAATCAACACTACATCTGCCCCTAGGGTTATGCAACTTGGGGTGTGGGTGAGGTGTGGGGGGGGGGGAGGGGGGGGGAGAGGGAGAGGGAGAGGGAGGATTAGAATGAAGGATGAGAAGTGAGTGAAGGAAGTAGTGGGAGTACGGGATCCATAGTGGTATATAGGTACTGTTGTCATGCATATGTATACGTAGTACTCCCCCGTTCCAGTTTATATGAATTTGTTTCCTTTTTGATCCGTTGCAAAAAGAATGATCATTTTCTAAATTTGGAAACAATTTAGCTTAAACTTACAATTCTACCCTTAATGAGAAGCTTTTCTAACCACAAAAATACTGTGGGCCCTTTTTGACTTATTTAGGACCAGAAATTCCAAAAGTCTTCATTTTTTCTTAAACTCCGTGCCTAGTAAAATAGGTTCACATAAATTGGAACGGAGGGAGTATCAATTAATGGAGTACGCAAAAGTGGAGACGCCCACCTTAACAAGAATACTCCCTCCCTTCACTTTTAGTTGTTTACTTTTGGCTTTCCAATCCCTTTAAGAAAAACCCATAATAATGATAACAATTTCAAAAAGTCTTGAGAAATGATTTTGGCAATGAATAGTTATTGATAAGAGAAAAATAGGAAAAAAATATTATCTTTTTCTTGATTTGCTAAAATGGACAAGTAAAAATGAAAGGAGTAGTTCTTTTCTAGGATAAAACATTTATTATAACTATTTTTTATAACAGAGTGTAATATTTATATGCTATATAAAGAAAATGATATTTTACTAAAAATAATTAGAAGTAACATAAGGCAAGTATGATTGTATAACATGTTACTGATATTGCATTAAATATTTCCGGTGCGTATGAGTTAAATAGTAAAAAAGAAAGTTAAACTTTCAAATATTGAAAAGGTAAGTTTGGAGGATATGGCATTCTAGATTTTAGAGAGAGTGGGGGACTGGATATTGGATTCTTTTACTGTGGGGGGTGGGGGGTGTTATGATTGAAGGAATGAGTGGGTGGGAGTCATCAGTCATCATCTGGTTAAATGACCACGTCTCTGCTTTATGATAATGTGAAGCGGACGAGGGGGGCGATACAAGATATTAATGCATTTGGAATGTTTTGGGATTAGAGGAGTGATTTTATTTTGGGTGACACCCAACAATAGTTGTATGAGGTCTTTTTTTTTAAAAAAAAAATAAATAAAAGTTACGCCACAGGTGGCACATTCTTTTCATTCATTCAAAAAAATCAGTTACAACAGAGAGATAGATCAGCTACTATCCCAGTTTACCTCCTTATCTGAACCCTTCTCTATTAAAAGGTTACAAAAACTTACAAAACATGCTAAGGATTACCAACAGGTAACTTAACAAAAAGAGGACATCCTATCATAAAAAATAGTTTTTCCTATGCTTATGTCTTAGAGAGGCCATTTGCATCAAATCCAACCTATATGGTCCCTTAGCTCCTTTAGGTAGAGTATTGACCGATGTAAATACATGATCTGAATTTTCAATACTCCATTTTGCTAGAGCATCGGCTACTTGATTGACCTCTCTAAATCCATGTTGAATTCTAACATTAGCCATGTTGATGTAGTTCTTAGTTTTCAACACAATTTCCAACATATGCCATGGAGGTTTGCTATATCCATTCAACATGTTGATAATCAGAAGTGAGCCACATTCAAGAATTATATTAGAAAAATCATTTGTAATACACCACTGAACTCCAAACAAGGCAGCCTTGGCTTCAGCAAAGTTGCTACTGCAGTTCCCGAACGAGGAGGCAAAAGCCATAATCATGTTGCCGTTATGATCCCTGTAAATGCCCCCACCACCTCTAGCTGATCCTTGTATATTTCTACTCCCATCAGTGTTCATTTTAATCCAAGAGTCAGGTAATTTTTCCCACTTTACCAGCTTGCACTCACTAACGGGGGAAAGTTGCATAATTTGATCACAAAGACCATACCAGTCGGCAGCCAGTTCCTGTTAACCTTAGTCTTGGATACAATCCATTTGAGGTGGATGAGAATTTGGTAATGAATTCTCCTAATTGAGGTGTTAGAGTCCCCATATCGAACAACGCTCCAAGCCTTCCAAATTTCCCAACAAAGAATCATAGGTGTGACTTGAAGTACAGTTTGATGAACACTATTCTTTGGCTTGGTACTCCACCACCTTGTAAGCATAGTCGTGATAGGAATTTCTTCCCATCCTACGCCCAACGGACTACCAAAAATCTTTTAGATCTGTGAGGCTATTTCTCCTCCCATGAATGTATGATGTAGGGACTCTACCTGTGGATTCCTGCCACAGAAATACATGAATACAATATTCTGGCTAAAAATGGAAAGAACATCATCAAAAGGCAATTTGTTTTTAAGGATTCTCCACATAATGAATGACATATTAAATGGGAGAAACTTGTGCCAAATCTTCATCAATAAAGGTGATCTATCTTTCCTCTGTCTAGCAATGTTCTAGGCTGAAGAAGTAGAAAAAGTTCCATTTACATTAGATGTCCAAATAGGCACATCTAGACAATTTTGATCAGCAATAGGTATGGTGAGAATGTGCTCCGCAAGAAACTCTGGAAAGTGCATATGTTCAATGCTCCAATTACCATTACTAATCAAGTTTTTGACCACTTGATTGCCATGAATTTTGCCCACCAGTATGATCCTAGCGATTGCACCCATATCTGTCAAATTATCCCACCAAAGATTACTATCTCCACCATTTATTTTCCACAACATCCCATCTTCCACTATTTTCCAACATCTCAACATATTCCTCCACAGTTGCGACTGGGTTGAAATAGATAGCTTGGCCACTGGTGAGATAAATCTGTAGTATTTAGAGCTGAGGAAATAAGACCACAAAGACTTACTAGTTCTAAAACACCACCATCTTTTCAAATTGAAACTTTCACTGATACCTTGCAACCTTCCGAAGCCCAATCCTCCCTCATCAGTAGGGTAACACAAATTGGACCAAGAACTCTAATGGTATTTCTGCTTTCCGTCTTTTGAGCCCCAAAAAAATCTTGCCATGTGTTTTTCAATCTCTTTGAAGACTGCTTTTGGAGGTTCAACAACAGCTAGAAGATGAATAGGTTGTTATTGAAGGACATGTTTAATTAAAATGGTCCTACCTCCCACTGATAATAGTTTACCATGTCATCCAGTTACATTCTTCACTATCTTGGCTACCATCTCATTATAATATGCAATCCTTTGTCTTCCCACATAGAATGGACATCCCAGGTAAGTAATAGGGAAATTAGCATGCCTATAACCTGTCACTTCCTTCACTCTAAGAATCTGATAGTTTGTAGCTTTTGGGTTAATTAGAAAACAACTTTTATCTATGTTAATCAACTGTCCAGAATATTTTTCATAGTTTTGCAATTGACCTATAACCAGCTCCAACGATCTCTTATTACCAGAAGTGAAAATCGTAACATCATCTGCATATGCAAGATGTGTCACTTGCAGTCCTTGACACTGCATGCTGAAGCCCCTAAAATGATTTATGAAGGGTAGTTGATTAAGCATTCTTGATAGAACTTCAGCCCCTATGACAAAAAGAGCGGGGGATAACGGGTCACCCTACTTTAGTCCTCTGTTAGAATAAAAAATCCTTGCCTTACACCATTGATCATGACTGAGTACCAATCATTGGAGATGGAACTCCACCCCAAATCAATCCAGCATTCAGAAAAACCAAATCTTCTCAAAACAGCTACCAAAAAGTGCCAATTGACTATGTCATACGCTTTAGTCATGTCTAGCTTGAGAGCAACATTACTACCAATATTCTTCTTCCCCATATGTCACGATCCGAATTTCCCACCGTCCGGACCGTGATGGCACCTAACATCGCACTCTCTAGGCAAGCCAACGTTAGAGTTCTATTCACCTTTTTCCTTTACATATTATAGTTAAAATTAACAAAGCTAAATTAAACAAAAATAAATGCAGAGGTGTATAATAAATCGGTTATCTAAATACTATTAACAATACCGAAACTGTTACCACCCAGAAACTGGTGTTACAATCCACGGACATACGACGAATTACTACAAATACTGGTCTGAAAGAATTTACATCTGTCTAGAAAGAAAGGAAAACAGGAAAGTGTAAACATAGGAGGGAACGCCAGGGCCTGCGGACGCCAGCAGGACTGCCTTGGGTCTTCTAGATGAAGTATCTGCAACCGACCTCTCGATCAGCCACTACCAGCTCCGAAATCTGCACAGAAAGTGCAGAGTGCAGTATCAGTACAACCAGCCCCATGTACTGGTAAGTGCCAAGCCTAACCTCGACGAGGTAGTGACGAGGCTACGACGGGGCATTTACAATATAACCTGCATACAATATATAATAAAGCAAAAGGATGTACGGAACGAAATGGAACAGTAACTTGCAGCAAAAATAAATATGGAACTCAATTATCTTGCCAGTACTCAGCTATAACCAATCCTTAAGAGAGTTACAATACTACATAATAAAATCACAGCAGAGGAAGAATACATAAATAACAAATTGATGCGGCGCGCATCCGGATCCCACCATATCATCAGTAACAATTTGAACATTCACCCTTATTACTCCTGTTGCGGCGTGCAACCCGATCCCACCAATCCACCCGTATTACTCCTCAATATATCACCCTTATTCCTCCTATTGCCGCGTGCAACCCGATCCCACCAATCCACCCTTATT